AGACAGGAGGAGGTGGAGGGGTTTCTAGAGCCAGGGGCAGGTGGGAGTCACCGAGGTACTGACTCAGCACCCCCTGCCCCCTGGGTGCTCCTGGATCCTCACCAAACCTATCCTGGGCCTGCCCTGGGCCTGGGGCCTCTGAAGCCCCTGACAGGGTCCCCCGAGGGCTGGACAGGCCATTCTCCTCGCCCCACAGAAAGGGGCTCGGAGCGTGCTGGACGTGGACAGACATGTCGGACCTGAAGGCTCAGCCTGGAGGGGCCGGGCTCCGCTCTGTCTGCCGGGCAGAGCCCTCGAGCTCCGAACCCCTATGTGTGTGGCCGCCTGCTGGCGCCCTCTCTCTCCATTGGACCTCCTTCCTATGTGTGAGCGGGAGACACTGTAGGGAACAGAAGGGACCTGCCACACTGACAGGCTCGAGGTGCTAGCCAGGGTGTCTGGGACTCAGCAGGGTGCTGCCAGTGTCAGCCCTGGATCTTGGGTATTGGCCAGGTCTGCAGCACGGTGGCCAGAGATTGGTGGGGGGCTCAGAGGCCTGTGGCACACAGCATCTCTGGTCAGGGTCCCCTCTGGGACAGAGTTGGGGAGCCCTTCCTGAACAGTGCCTGGCCTTGATGGCCTTGCAGGAGCCAGGTGAAGCAGGCCCAGAGGTGTGGGGGTGGCAGGTTGCACAGGTTCGTTTAAGGAGCCACAGCAGGGCCCTCGTTGGGGATGGAGGGCTCCCCTGGCCCTGCTCCCGTGAACACAGCCTCTGAGGCCGCCTGGGCCTGGGGTACTCCCAGGACAGACAGTGGGCACAAGGACAGGGTCCCAAGCCCTCTGCTACCTGCAGACAATGACCCCCCTTGCCCTGCTTGACCCCCCTGGGCCTGGAGGGTGATGGGTCCTCAGAGGGGCTGTGAGGGAAGCATGTGGGAAGAGGTGGCTTTGCGCTGGGCCCTGGGCTGAGGAAGTGTCTTCAACGGGGTGGGGGTCGGGGGTGGGTTTGGCTCTGCGGAAATAAGCCAGAGCTGCTTCCTGGGTGCACAGGAGGGGCTGCTGGCAAGGAGACCTGGGGGGCTCTGAAGGGCAGGAGGAGGGAGGGGGTCTGCGAGGCTGCCCTGGGTCGAGCTGCCCCCTCACCCTCCTGCCTAAGTGTCTTGGGTGGGGTGGCTGCACTCTCAGCCCCAGGGCACCTCACAGGGACGCCGACAGGAGCGCAAAGCTGCAGAATCAGATCTGAGGGGAGCTGCCCCAGGAGCCCCTGGGCCTCCTGCCACCACACAGCAGCACTCTGCACTGGCTGCGATCCATCGGCAGGGGAGATGGTTCTCCAGGCCTCTGGAGGGAACCCAAACCCCTCATCCCCCCGGACCCCAGGGGGGCCTCAGGAGCCAGGGCCCCCCAGCCCACCGCCTGCCCTGGCAAGGCCTCTCCTCATGCAGGTGAAACATCCCTCTGCTGGGGCGGAGTTGCTGGCCTGCCTGTGCCCCTCCAGGCCTCTCGGCAGGATGGAGTGGGAAGGGGCAGGGTGGAAGCCGTCAGGTCAGCGTACAGAGGCCCCGCCGGCCCTGGAGGGCCCGCAGGAACATCAGCTGTTTCGTCAGCTCTGGGGGCCCCAGCTGTCCAGGGTGGGGGTGGGGGCCTTGGCTCCCGGCCACAGGCTCCAGCTCCCACAGTGTGGGGCACAGAGGGTGCTGCTGGGGCACCTGGGCAGTGTGAGTCCCCATGAGTCACGGGGGCACCCCAAGGGCAGTGCCAGGAGGTGGCCCAGGGCCCTGGGTGTGCGGGCTGTGCTTAGGGAGGGGAGGGGTCCCCCAGCCCAGGCCTTGCTGCCGCCCCCACGGGACCAGCCCCCCACGGACTGGGCTTTGGGTGTCTCCTGCCACCCTGCACTTTGTGCTCCAGGCCAAAGCACCTGGCCTGAGCCCCCACCTCGGGGCCCGGGGGGACATCAGGTGCCACCCTGCTGGTACCTGTCAGTGTTCTCACCGCTAGAAGATCCCCACCCTCCCGTCACTAGCGTAACCAGCACCACCACCCACGCAGACTCCGTGGTCCTGGGCTCCAGCCTCCATGGAGTGGGAGGGGCCCAGCACAGCCCCTCCCCCACAGCGGCCCTGAGCCCTAAGATGGTGTGCAGGGGTCTCAAGTGGGGTTGCCGCGTGAGAGAGGCTGATGGCAGGTCAGCCTGAGGAGGCCAGTGGGGTAGCCTCTCTTTGGGGGCTCACGGGAGAACAGGCTAGGGGGTGCTGAGCACCGAGAGGGGAGATTCAAGGGGCAGGCAGGGGCAGAAGAGGCAGCACCCAGCACCCAGGCTTCACCCAGACGGGGCGTCTGGCTACTTTATTTAGCACCTACTGTGTGCCGAGGGCCCCGCCAACCCGTCAGGGGGCACTGTCACTGCAGACACAATGGGGGGGGGGAGGAAGGGCTGAGCCCTCGCTGGCCTCCTTCCCCCACCGGCCTGCAGCCTGCAGTGGGGACAGCCTCATGTGGGGCTGGCCACCTCCAGCCTGGCCTCCCCCCAGGGGCTGCCGGCTGGGGACAGTGGGCAGAGGAGGTGGGCGCCCCAGGCACAGCCTCCCCTTCGCCGGCCGCCCGCCCGCCCGCCCGCCCGCCGTCTGAGCAGATGCTCTGGCGCCCACTGGACACCGGGGACCTCAGTAAGGAGCCCAATTTGGAGACAAAGGCGAGTGCTGTGGACAAAACGCTCAGGGACATTGTCGGCACCGTGCCGCCCGGCAGCGAGGCCAGGCCCACAAAGGGCCAGGCAGGGCGGGGCGGGGCCGAGGGGTGGGGGCTGCCCTGGCCGCGTTGCCCGGGCGACGGCCCTCTCCCGGAGAGGTCTGCCTGGCCATTGTGCGGGCACACAGGACGTGTCACACACCAGATGGTCGTGTGCTGTGCAAGTCAGCCAGCGGCCGAGTGAAGGAATGCGGCGGCCGGCGGCCGGGGCGCCATCTGTTCCGGGCCCGCGCGGTCTTGGGCTGAGTGGCCAGGCCTCCTCCGTGGCCTTAATTAGCTAATTCCATAATTGGGCTTTATTTCAGGTAAATTGCATTTCACACCCGAGAGCACGGCCATGGCGCCCGTCCCCGAGTCGCCTGTTCAGAAGTGCGGCGCCGGGACGCTGTGCGAGGCTGGCTGGGCGCAGACAAAGCGGCTGGTGGAGGCCTTGCCTGAGAGGGCCACCACCAGCGCTTGGGGCCGGGGTGCCCGCGGGGAGCCCCGCTTTCCAGCAGCACGTCCCAGGGTTTCCACAAATATTTACTCAACACGGAAACAAGACGCTGCCTTTCCCGGACTCGACCCCCTCGGTGGGTGGAGGGCTGGGGGGACCTTGGAGGCCCTTCGCTGCCCCGCCCCCCTCGGCCCATCAGGCCAGATGCCAAGTCCCTGAGGGGGGCTGACCCAGGAGGTAGAGCCATCATGATGGTGGGGGCTGGGCTCTCTTCCCAGGGGAGCCTCAGCCTCTGCCACCCCCAAGCCAGATGCCCCGCTCACTGGCCGCCTGCTGCCTCTGGTGCCAGCCCAGGGGCAGCCCTATCACCTGAAATCTCGGATGCACCCCTCCAGCCCTAAAGACTCGGAATTCGTGGTCGGAGGCTGTGGAGGGAGGATAGGATGGGGGAAGGGGCCCGGAGGGTTTGGAAGTGGTCAGGATGCCACACAGTTCAGACAGGCAGGGGGGAAAGAGACAGACAGAGATACACAACTGACAATGAGAGAGAGACGATGAGAGGTGGAGAGAGATACAGAGCCACAGGGATGGAGACAGAGATACAGAGAGATGGTGAGAGAGATGCACAGTGAGAGACAGAGATACACAGAGACACAGTGAGAGATGGAGAGACACAGAGCCAGACAGATGGAGAGATACACAGAGATGGTGAGAGAGAGAGATGCACAGTGAGAGACAGATACAGAGAGACAGTGAGAGATGGAGACAGAGACACACAGAGAGATGGTGAGAGAGATGCACAGTGAGAGACAGAGATACACAGAGAGACGATGAGAGGTGGAGACAGATCACAGAGAGACAGTGAAAGGTGCAGACAGAGCTACACAGAAAGGCAGTGAGAGATGGAGAGACAGAGATACACAGAGACAGTGAAGGACAGAGGCAGGGACAGACAGACAGACAGCAGGAGCCCAAGGGAGTCCTGGGGCAGAACCGGTTGTTTCAAGGACGCACTCGCTGGACTGGTGATTCTCATTTATTAGGAATGGGCACCGTTCATCAGCACCCACTGCGTGGCCCCTTTACCCAGGTCCCAAATCACCGCAAGGTCACCCTGATTTCTGTGAGCCCGGCAGGCGCTGATGGGGGGTGGGGGGACAGTGGCAGGAGCTGGCGTCCGCATGTCTGTCCAGCTGCTCTGACTGGGAGGGGTGGGGGGAAGGCTGTGTGCAGGGTGGAGCCCGGAGGCCTTCCCTTCTCTGTGGAATGGGTGGGAGACACGGCCGCCCCTGCTCACCCTGTCCCATGGCGCCCAGCCCTGTGGTGGTGGGGCCTGACCCTCCCAGGAGACTGTGGCTCCGACAGCAGCCTCTCAGCCCCCAGGTCAGTATCTCTTGAGACGGGCCTGGGAGCTGTAGCTCAGGCAGGGGGCACTGAGCAGGTGGCCACCACCACTATGGCCTGACTTTGTTGGGCGTGGGCTGGTCTGCCTGCTCCTCCCTGGATGCCTGGACCATTCCTCTGCCTCCCCAGGAACTCCGGGGCCTCTGGGATGGCCTGCTCGTAGCCTGCACCGCTTCTTAGGCACACACGGCCAGCTAGGGAGCCCGGCCCCTGGGGAGACCAGCCTGGCCCCTACCACCATGTGCTATCAACTGTGTGAGTCCTAGGGACAGGGCTGGCGATGGGCTCAGACTCGCCAGTCTGCCCTCAGCCAAGGTCTAGGAACTCCTGGCTAGGAGAGGTGGCCTCGTGGGCCCTGGGCCTAGGCTCTGCTGGGCAGCAGGGCCCCTGAGTGTCTGGGGCCCTGGAGAGCGAGGCTGTCACCTTGGGCCTTCTAGGAAGGCGCTGTGGCCAGTGGTGCCCCTGCTGAGGGAGAAGTAGGGTGGTCGGGGGTCTCCTCCATGGTGTCCCTCTCAGGCCCACTGGCTGCCCTGAGCTCCCAGCAGGACCCCTCGTCGGCAGCCCTGCGGGGTACAGTCAGCTGTTCATAGGTGGGCAGGGTGTTGCTGGGCAGAAAGAGCTCGGGGTGGAGGGGGCCGCCGCCGCCAGGCTGGACCACTCGGCCGCCGCCGCCGCCGGGGGGCCCTCCGGAATGCAGGGCCAGCAGCTGCTGCAGCATGTCGGTGATGAGCCTCAGCCTCTGGTCCAGCTGTGTCACCTGCAGGCACAGAGCGGAGGGGAGTGGGGTGTCCAGGTGTGCCGGCGCCTCCGGGTTTCTCCAGGCCCCGAGGAGGTGTGTGCCCAGGCCTGCTCTCACATTTGCATATATGTGTCATGTGTGGGTGGTACATGTGTGCCTGCGTGCACAGACCCCTGCCATCTGTGCCTGGCTCGTGGTCACGCCTATGTGCGGACGTACCTCCACCATACGTGTGTGCATGTGAGGGTGTGCACGTGTGTGTGTGAATGGGGCATACACACATGTGGGTGCACTACCACCTTCCCGTGTGCTCTGTGTACATGAGTCCCTGTGTGGATGTGAGGGTACGCACATGGGTACATATGGGAGGTATGCATGCATGTGTGTGGGTATGTGTGCAGGCATGTGCATGGGTGCATCCTCCACCTCCTGCAGACATGAATCCATATGTGTGTGTGGAAATGTGCCTGTGTGTGCATGCATGTGCATCTGTGGGGATATGCACGTGTGTCTGTGTGTGTGGAGTGCAGGTAGATGCATGGGTGTACCCTCCCTCTCCCGCGTACTGTGTGTGCATGAATCCCCTTGCACATATGGCGTGCACATGTGGGGGTATACACGTGCATGCACGTGTGGAATGTGGAATGTGCACCTGTGTGTGAGCACACTCTACCTCCCATGTGCACATGAGTATCTGTGTGTGGGGGTGTATGCACGTGTGCGAGATGTGCATGCGTGTGTACCCCCCGTGTGCTGTGTGTGTGCGCCTGTGTACATTTGTGGTGGTTCCCCTTCCCTCTCCAACTCTGGGGCACTCGACCCACCCCTGGTTTAGGGCTGGGGTGGTTGGTGCCTGGAACCATGACTTATCTCTCAGCTCCCCCGCCCTGGAGCCCTCTGGGGGCCTGGGAGGGTGGGGCCTGCACCAGGGCCCGCCCCTGCAGCCCTTGGCTTTGCTGCCACCTTTCACTTCTGGGGGCCAGGCCCTGGAGGCCTCTGGGGGTCAAGGCAGGGTGGGCATCTGCATGGCCTGGAGGAGGAGCCAGGTGTTCTGGGGCTGGGGCGGCGGGAGTTGTGGGCAGGGAGTGGTAGGGGGCACAGAGAGAGATTCCCAGAGAGAGGGTCCAGGAGGCAAGGCCTGGCCCGTCTGTGGGGTGAGGGGTGCCAGCCACGTCCCTCCCAGGAAGGACACCAGGCAGACCTCTCCTCCACCTGGGGCCACGCACCTCCTGGGACACCTGGCCCTGCCCCGAGGTGCCATGTCTCCCGCTCTGTGTGGCACCCCCTCATCCCCGTGGCTGGAGCCAAGAAAGCAGGGTCCCATCTGCACTGACTCCACAGCCAGGTCAGGCCCCCAGGCATTGGGCACGTCTCCCCCACCCTGAAGCAGGAGGGGGTGGGGCAGGAGAGGGCCTGGGACTCACGTGGCAGCAGAGACCAGGAGTCCTGAGAACTCTGCAGAGGACATGTGTGGGGACCGGGGTGCACACGCTGGTGGGGAAGGTATGAGGGGAGCAGCCTGGCCAGGCCCGCGGGGGGCCCTGAGTGGTGGGCCCAGTGGGGATGACACGGGGAGGCCAGTGAGGGAGCCAGGTCTGCCCTGGGTATGGGCATGTTTGAGGGACCCCAGTCCTGGAGGGTGGGAGCGGGGGCTAGAGGAGGACAACAGCTGTGTGTCCGGTGGCCTGCCCCTCTGCCCTCTCCTTGTGCCCCCACGACCTACAGAGACTGGGGCTCGGGGATGGAGAGGAGGTGGCAGGTCCTCAGCTGAGGGTGGCTCACACAGCGACCTTCTGAGGGATGACGCAGTGAAGACCCACTGGCTGCCCCTGGCCGGCCCAGAAGGCCCTGGGGGTGCAGTGGTGGTCACCCAGGCCTGCCCCTTCAGGGCCCATGTGGGGAAACCAACCCCGGGACCTGCCCATTCGGAGCAGAGCCTGGCCAGCCCCAGCTGGTGCCCAGGGACAGAGGCCACCTTGGACGGGCTGAGGCTGGCCCAGCCGCTGTCCTGCTTGTGCGGTGGCTGGTGTAGGACGAATTGAAGCCCCAGACAGCAGAGAGGAAACCGGGCCGACTCTCATTCTGCGGCCCTTGCATGTGCATGGAGCCCCTTGTCTTCATGGGACGGACGCCTTTTGGGCTTTCCTGGGAAAAGTGGGGGGTGGGATGTGGCTGGCCAAGGGACTCATTTGTGGCCACCCTGGGGGTGACCGTTACCCACGGTGGGGGGACTGTGGGGAGCCATGTCCACTGCCCTGTTGGGAAGCAGGGGGCCGGGCGGCACAGAGCCACACCCTCTCTGCCGGGGCCCCTCCTGTGGGGGAGACGTGCTCAGTGCCCGGGGACCTGTGACTCTGGTTCTCAGCTCGCTGTGGCCCTTGGCTGCTGCCCGTGTCGACTGCAGCTTTGAGGGTCCACCAGGGGCCCAGGCGCAGGGAGGCCTCTTGTGGGGGCCGTGGGGGGGGTGGTGGGGCTTTTCAAGCCAGAACTTGTTCCAAGCTACAGACCTCACACCCCATCCTGTTCACTCACCCCCCACAGAGGGAGAATGGGGCCTGGGAGGGCAGGAGAGTCAATCCTGTCACCCCACTGGGTCCTCCTGCTGTCTGCAGGTCTGACCACAAGGGCCTCCCACCCACCTGTGGGGTCCTCCCAGCCTGCCTACGCGGGGTCTAACCACAGGGTCCTCCCACCTGCCCACAGGGCCTCCCACCCATGGGGTCCTCCTGCCGCCTGTGGGGACTAAGGGCAGGGTCCTCTCACCAGCCTGTGGAGACCTCCCACTGGACTGTGAGCACTTCCCAGCTTGCCTGTCCTCCCGCGTGCCTGTGGGGCCCTCCAAGACTATCCTGAAGGGGCCCCACCCCATCTTCCTCTCTCACAGCCCCCATCCCAGGGTACACCACCCTCCCTCGTTTATTGGGGTGCAGTGGTGGCCCTCACGTACAGTTGGCCCAGGGAACGCCTCAACCAGAACCCCACTTGGGTCCGGCCGGTGCCAGGCGGTGGGCCCCAGCGGCAGGTGCCGGGGGAGAGGCCGCCACCCCCAGGGCCCAGAGCGGCTTCTCTGTAGCTGCGGGGTCTGATCAGTTTTGGGGGTCCTGGGTCTAGTCATTATTTGCAATTTGATTAAAAGGGCGAGGAAGACAATCATCCCTTTGTGCCAGCCTCCACTCACCGCGAATTAATAACCGTAAGACGACGAACGTGGCTCTTGGCAGAAAACAGAGCCGTGAGAAGGACTGCTCGTTAGAGAGCCCCCACCGCCCCCGCAACTGGTGACCAAACCCAGGGCGACCGGAGCAGTTGGATGTGGTTATGAATTTGTTTTTTAAACATTCCGAGAAAGCATCTTGAAGGGGGAGTTTCACGGAGCCGGCCCGGCCCGGATCCCGCCGCGGGCCGGCAGCCCCTCCCTGGGCCACGGTGCCCAGCTCTCTGGGCCAGGTTACGTACAGCCGGCAGGGGAGGCCGGGGCTGGGGACCCTGGGGCTGGGGACTGTGGGGCTGGGGACTTCTAGGGCTGGACATCAAGGCTGGCGGCACTGGACCGAGACCCCGGGGTCAGACTTTGGGGCTGGGGACATTGGGGCCGGGGCTCCAAGGGGGCCGGTGGTGGCCTTGGCTGAAGTCTCTGGGGGACCGGTGGCTCCCCAGGGAGCCTTGTTGATGGGCACCTGGGGCACGGGCTCCTCCCCAGCCCGCTCAGGACCCGCTGTAGGCCCACAGGAAACGGAACGTGGCCTTCCTCCCACGGAAGCCTGCCTTCCTCAGGCTTACTCAAGGTACTCACTCCTGGTTGGTACTTGAGCACTCAGGCATCAGTCCTCGTGCAACGTGGACAGCCGGTGCTGGGGACGTGGGAGCCCCGTCTCCACATCGCACGCGGGTTAGGGCGCCCGTCTCTGTGTTCCTGCTGTCTCTGTGCTGGGACCATTAGCAGCTTCCTAACCACTTCGCCCCACTGCTTCTGCAGGAAGCTCCTTCCAGAACACAACCAGGTGCCATCACTGCCCTGGTTCCAACCCTCAGTTCCCACTTCCCTCCCAGGAAAGCCGGGGATCCTGTCAGGGGCCGTGCCCCCACGCCTTCCTCGTTCTCTCACTCCTCCAGGCCCCTCTGCCTCTGATGTCGGCCAGCACCTGCTCCGCTCACCCTCCCAGCCTCAGCCCTCCCGGCCTTTGTGGGGGTTCCCTGCCTACCCCTTCCATAGCTGTGTCTTCCTTGAACCAGCCCGGGCTCCATCTGGCCACTGTGTCCCAGGGTGGCACTGGGAGGGGGCCCGCCCACCCTGGCCGGATGCCCCGCGTCCCTCCGCTGGGGCCACACTGTCCTGCAGCACCTCCCCAGCCGCTGAGTGCCCTTCCCGGCGGCAGGCGGTGGGCAGAGGGTCGTGGGAGCTGGTGATGCCAGTGCTCAGAGGGCCCTGCTTTGCAGGGGGAGTTGGGGGAATGTTTGTGACCCTGTTCTATCCCCTCAGCTCTCTGAGCAAAAGCAATGGTGCTTCTGCCCACTGAGGTCTCAATGTGTCCCCAGGGTGGACGCTGCAGGGCCAGCATGGGAGGGAGCATGGGGTGTACAACGGGGTGTTCGAGGACCAGGGTGGGTCTGGAGACATGTCTGTGAGCAGAGCAGTGGCAGGTCTGGTGCCCTGCTTCTGCCTCAGCCTGGCTGGGATGATCTAAGGCGGGTCAATTCCCCTCTCTGGGCCTCAGTTTCCCATCTGGAAAATGGGGATAATGGAAGCATCTCCCTCAATGGGGATGTAGCAAGGATAGAGCAAATTAATTCATGCAAAACTCTGGACCAGGGACACACGGTGGGTATGATGGGTTAAATCGGTCCCCCGAAAAGATATGAGAGAAGAACTAGAAGGTTCTTCCACTACTGACTGTTCCGATCAGGGCCACCACAGATGGACTCTGATTGAATGGGATGAAAATGTGGAACAGACCACTGGGCTGCTTGGGGCTGGAGGACTCCCCGAGACAGTTGTCCTGAGATATGCTCCAACCCTG